CAGCATTAGTTAGCTCTACTTTAGTGTTAGCTCAGCATTAGTTAGCTCTACTTTAGTGTTAGCTCAGCATTAGTGTTAGCTCAGCATTAGTGTTAGCTCAGCATTAGTGTTAGCTCTGCATTAGAGTTAGCTCTACTTTAGCATTAGTTCCACTTTAATGTTAGCTCTACTTTAGCGTTAGCTCCACTTTAGCATTAGCTCTACTTTAGCATTAGTTTCACTTTAGTGTTAGCTCCACTTTAGTGTTAGCTCCACTTTAGTGTTAGCTCCACTTTAGTGTTAGCTCTACTTTAGCGTTAGCTCCACTTTAGCATTAGCTCCACTTTAGCATTAGCTCCACTTTAGCATTAGCTCCATTTTAGTGTTAGCTCTACTTTAGCATTAGCTCCACTTTAGTGTTAGCTCTACTTTAGCATTAGCTCCACTTTAGTGTTAGCTCCACTTTAGCATTAGCTCCACTTTAGCATTAGCTCCACTTTAGTTTTAGCTCCGCATTAGTTAGCTCTACTTTAGCATTAGCTCCACTTTAGCATTAGCTCCACATTAGAGTTAGCTCCGCATTAGTGTTAGCTCTGCATTAGTTAGCTCTACTTTAGCATTAGCTCTACTTTAGCATTAGCTCCACTTTAGCATTAGCTCCACATTAGAGTTAGCTCCACATTAGCGTTAGCTCTGCGTTAGAGTTAGCTCCACATTAGCGTTAGCTCTGCATTAGTTAGCTTCACACTAGCATTGGATGTATTCTGGCACCTGTTTTACTTCCTGTTTCCTTAGCGGTGTTTTTTACAAACACGACTCTTTAATGAAACCTCTGATCTGTGGTTCTGATGATCCAGTGTTTGCTGCTTTGATTGACAGCTCACAGTGGACACCTCAGACCTCCCGGACCCGTGACGATTCTCCTCCTCCAGTTGGAGATGCTTTCATCGGTGCGAGATCGGCACAGCAAAGGATGATGGGAAGTCCCGGTGCCGAGGCGGGTCTCACTGGGCAGACAGTGGATCTGTTGGCAGAGGAGCAGAACCAGCGCCGAGCTCCGCTTCTTATTTATTGTGCTTACTGAGGCATGCTGGGAAACTTGTTACCAGAACCAGAACCAGCTCAGACTGGTCCAGTTCAGAACTTTATATATGAAACAATGAATCTAACTGGGTTCTGGTGTCACACCTTCACACTAGTCTTTATTTTAGTGACTAGCATGGCTAGTTCCTGACACTAACCAGGTTAGTTAATCTGACTGCTCCAGCTGAACCGGGCTCACTGGGTCGAGTGAGAACTTTATTTTTACAGAACAGATTTTTGTTCCAGTGTCTCAATCTTTTCATATTATTTTGAAAGCAGGGTAGCTGGGTTTAACCAGCTTTTCTTCTGACCCGGTCACAGCTTTCAGGACACATTCAGTTCAGAAAGGCTGGTTGTTCCGCCGGAACCGCACGGTCCAGAGCAACAGAACTGATCGGAACCAAACCTGAGAAACAGGAGCTGAACAAACCGTAAAGACAAGTGAGTAGGCGGGTGTTCAGAGGAGCTTTGAACCGGACCGGGTTTTTCAGAACAGACAGAATTTTTTTTTTTTTGATTCATTTGCACAATTTAAATGTTTGTTGAAGTGTAAAATAAAAAAGTAAAACAAGCAACTGTTTTTTTTGTGAACTTCTATGAGGCTCAGTGTCGACCCTGTGTTTGTGTCTGTTAGCAAAATATCTCATGAACCACTGGATGAAGGACAACAACTGATTAACTGTTGGAGTCGTTCTGAGTCAAGATGGCTGCATAATAATGTACTCATGTACATACAAAATACACATTTTACTTTCTCAGATTATTTTTATTTTCTATTTATTTATTGTAATACACACACACACACACACACACATATATATATATATATATATAT